CAATTAAAAAAGGAAAAACACAAGTTACTAGAAATTGATAACAATATAACAGCTGGTGGGACTGAATGAATCATTAAAGATATTCTATAATTGTAGAATATAATAATGTCTAGCCGACCTCCACTTTTTACTTCCTACTGTTACTGCTCATATAACATCCTTCTCTAACACTCTAACTTGAGTGGCTCTTGGGCTTTTTATTAGGTGGACATTAATAAAATAAAATTTTTAAAAAATCAAGAAAGCTGTAAACAACAGCCATCTTTTATGACAATATAATCATCCTTGACAATCAAATCAGTTTTACCATTGCAAAAAATATTACGGCCATATCACATTGAAACACCAGTTCTTGTACAATCACTGATGTTAAGAAATGTCAAGCCTGGTCAGTACCTAGATGGGTGACTGCTTGGAAATACTAGCTGCTGTAAATTTAGATGTGTGTGTGATGTAATGGATAACGGATCGAAATTGGAAATCTGAAAGCTGAATTATAATTCCAGTTGGGTTCATAGTATTCACTTACTTGCAAATACTCTTGGAAAAGGTGAATGAATCCAACTCTCCTCCTCCCAGCTATAGGTTAATTAGTAGGATTTGTATCATTAAATCATTAAAATCTCAAAAATTCTACAATGTAAAAATATTTATATAAAACAATCTATCAAAAGCATAAAGAAAGGAGTCTTTTGTTTTTTTTGTTTTTGTTTTTTTTTAACAAATGTAATTCTAGAATATAAGTTATTGGGAAAGGCCCATTTACAAGTGTAGTAAGTTGTTATCTATTTACTTGATTTTGTGTCAGACTAAACTAATAAATAACCAGTGATCATAAGATTGGAGTATGATGACTAATGAAGAATACAATATTAAACATAGACTCAATTTAGTTGCCATGTTGTTCCACACAAGGAATGTGACTCTGATTTGACATGGTTCAACATTGTCACATGATCCCAATTTGGTTACGATTACAAATTAACTTGAAATTTTTTTCCTTTCTCTTTCATTCTGTTTTTTATTTTCTTTTTTTTAATACCAAAATAAAACCATTATATACTTTTTGCATAAAAATTTTAAGAATGCTTTTATTTCATAATAAAATTGACAATTAAAAAAAAAAAACTACACTGGTTGCTCTAAAAGTAATGTCATTTTATGTTGGTACACATCATCAGAGGCAGGTATCAGTGGTATAGCAATAGTGATGTAAACTTTCTATCAATCTATGATGTTTGCCTTGTTACAAATAGCAGTTGAGCAGTAGTATGGCAAAATATTGTCTGACAGAACAAAGCAGATGTGTCATTAAATATCTCTATGGGTAAAAATACATTCATTGACACGTAATGTTTATAACCATATCTTCTGGATTAGTGTTTTCTGACTTGATGTTCAGGTTGATAAAAAATGAACTATATCGACATTTTCCTGACAATAAAGCCATTGGTAGTGGCATGTAAGCTTTTGGTTATTGGTGGCAACAAAGGAGGTCAAGTCTAATAGCAAGCAATAAAAACATTAGGTGTAAGATTGCAAGTTCTAAGCTAAGGATTGTCCCATGAGACAAAAGCCTTATGGATTAAAGTGTTAGTTCATGAATTTAGTGGCATAGTAATTGTGAGTTTAATCTCCATGTCAGGTAGTACCAATTCATACTCTGTACAAACAGGGCAAACATTAACTGAGCAGCATTAAAAAGAACAAGATATCCCTAGACATAGACAGTGGAATAAAAACAATCAACACTTATAGATTAAATAAAAAGTTTAAAAATAAATTTGTAAATTTCATGAAGGTTACCTGGATTAACAATCACCTGAAGAAGGCTAGAGAGTACAACAACTGAAACATAACAAAATTAGTCTTAATGTAAATAATGTAATTAATATAAATAACTCCAAGTTTTGTAGCTGAAAACTTGTTCTATCCAAGTGTTATTGTGCTCCCTGTGTCTACTGTAGTTTCTGTGTAAAGTAATGAGAGGCATTATTTCTATATAATAAATGCAAATGTCAGTGTGTCACACTTTTTCAACTTTACTCCTAGAGGCTGTAGCCCAACATATATCATTTTGGAATCGAGCCAACACCATGAGCAAATTAAGAATATTCCAATCTGGATTTGGATCAGCAATCCTGAAATTTTAGATTCCCAAGTTTTCATTACTGTGATTGTTTTTAGCAATAATTTTTTTTTTTTTTTTTTTTTTTTTGTTTGTTGTGTAATAACAATTTTTAATTTGGGAATAATCAAAATTAATTGCAAAATCCTGCAGAAGTCACCCATGAAATAAAAATAATTGTTTGTATGGAATGTAAGGACTTACATACATAAAATTGTCTTTAAGTGGCAGCAGAAGAATTATCATTGAACTTTTAAAAGGTAAGTTTACATATTAATGCAATACTTAAATGCAGCAATCAATTTTGAGTTCTTCTGTAGTTTATTGTTGCCTATCACATCTATTCCTCTCTACCTATTGTGATGAAGGCCCAATCAAGATCCTTCTGCAGGAACTAGCTTAAATGCTGCCCAATAGGGCGGCTTTTAAGCTAATTCTAAATAAAAGTAGTTAGTATTTATTTAGGTGTTTTTTGTTTTGTTTTATAAATCTTATTTAAAAGAATAAAAAAAGAAAAACTCAAAACTCTTAGTAACTGACATTTTGTCAATAGATAAAAATTTTGAACTTGCTGCACGATTTCAACTGAACAAAAAAAAACAATTCCTAACTTTGCTAACTGCAAATGGTTGATACTTTGGCATTAGTTTGGTTATTTTGGTTAAGTAGACATCTGACCTAGAAATAGTTGACATTTTATCCTGTGCCTATGGTTAGAATGTTAAATACAAGTGATAAAATTAATCTGCAAGTTAGTCATCTTGCAAACTTGTTTAACTATGATTTTTAGCAGACTATTTCAAATAAAGAAACCTTGCACTTGAAAAATGTAGATAGTTACTACCCTGAAGGCTAAGACAGAGTTTGTGACATTTATTTCTTGTAGATTCTATTAAAGAAATAGCAAAACTGAAATAATTTTTATATAGCAAAGATGTTTTTAACTAATCTGGAAATTTCTGATTGACCGTGTTAAAGAAGACCTAATTTTGTCCATTTTTATTCTTTTCTTAATTGATTTAATTTTTTTTTCTTGTTCTTTATTTCACAAATTATTTGGACCATTATCTTGATCTTTGTTGTTTTTATCATCTGATATGTTCTTTGCACTTTCTGAGGTGTATGCGTCATCTGATAATCTTTGTCAGCTAAGGTTTAATAAATAAATAAGTCACCATTTCAATAGAAAGAAACTGCTTATATGAATGACATGGGAAAATTTTAAGTCAATTGGTGGGGGATCTAAATTACATTTTTACTGTATGTAGATTTGTCAATAAGTCTAATGATGAAAAAGAGAAAAAAAACAAACACAGATGTGCCATCTGATTTTCTGTCCAGCATTTTAAATCCAGATGAAATTACAAGCAAGAATTTAAATTTCACTAAACTATTAGAGTAATTGTGTGGCTACAGGTGGTTACATTTAATAAGAGTTTAATATAAGCTTCTGTTAATGATGATATAGAATAGTGTGTGTTTTTTTTTTGTTTTTTTTTTTTTCAAGCTTTTTTTTATCTCCTAGCGCACTTAAACATCTAGTTAAACCCTAGCAAACTTAAATTATGATGGTCAAAAAAAACAAAGAAAAAAGTATACATTTTATGATTTATTTAACACAAACCAAACAATTATAATTTGTAATAAAAAAAATAATTACTTTTTTTTATTTTTGAATTTATTATAATTTACATTTAATAAATAATATCTGAGATTAAAAGTTTTTTTTTTTTTTTTTATAGAATCTTTGCAAGGTTGAATTTTATGCAGGCACACTCTTAAATCTTCCAAGGTTTCTCACCATTTTTTAATATTGTCTATTATAGAAAAGCTCATTTTTATATTTTATATATTATGTATACTATTTGAACTGTTGTCCCATTCATGTTTCGGCTGTTGTACATTCCAGCCTTCTTCAGGTGATATACATTTGAATTTCAAACTGAAGCAAGGTCTACATAAACATCACTAAACCAATCTTCAGAAATGCTAACATACAGATTGACTGTTCTGGGTTCAGTTCAAAATTCAAACAAATATCAGCTGAAGAAGGCCAGAGTGTAGAGCATCTGAAACATGAATGTGACAAAGATGAGGACAACAGTCTGAACAATGTAAATAGTTACAATACCCATCACAAAAATATACACAGATATTATGTATACATTTATTATAACAATGATAAACTCGTATAATCAATTTAAAGGGATTTTTAATTTTGATATTTGTACTTACTGTGCTTTGTACTTTTTTGAAGATAATGAGCTTTAAAAATTTACACAGCATGCCTACGATCATCTCATGACACCCCAGTTGAAAATAACTGCTGTAGAGATAATTAATGGTCATAGGTGTATTATTGAATTGATATGTGACTTCTATTGGTTTGACAAAATGTATAACCCAGCATTGTTCTTGAACCAAGGGAGCCAGAAAATCAGTGGTATGTCTGGACAGTTTTTTTTTATGTAATATTCTTTTATCAAGCACTTAATCCAACATTTCTCAATAGATAATACAGATTGAATATTAAAAAGAAATTTAACTATGAAATTCCAAACTATGAATGAATTGATCTTATCTTATCCGTTATATGTAACTTAGCACTTTCTTGACCTCAGATAATAGGAAACATCTTGATGACACCAAGAAAGATTTGTGAGATAAAACTAGAGAAAGAAATTGTGGGGGTGAGGCATTTGAAACATTTATTGTTGATGTTAAATGAGTTTTGAAGCGGGATCATTTAGAATTAACTTGGTGGTGGGGGGGTGTTTCTACAAATTGGCTGGAAATTTCAATTTTGTTTAGTTTTTATCTTTTTTTAATTGATTAAACTTTTATGCTAAATTCTGTTTCGTTTTTCTTTCAGATGATGCAGAACAACTGGTGGCTCTCATCCCAGTTGGTGATAAACGCTTAAAACCACGACGAACGTAAGTTTATTTTCCTATATTTCATATGTATGGTTGATGCTTGTTTCTGAACTTAAGTATTTGCTAGAGTGGCTAGTTAATCCTTGTTGCAGACACCTGCTCAGGCACATTTGCATTTGTTCAACATGTGGTTTATACTGCAACTATGATGAACAGATATTTGATAAAGTTTTTAAAAGAGTGCATAGTCTGGCGTGATCACTAATTTGAATAAAGCCACTACACTCAAGATGACTTGTGGCTTCATACTAGCACACCTATTTACCCAATTTCACTCCCAAGGCTTGGGTAGTATTGTTTTCAGGCACTTCCTATTGGTTTTGCCTGCAGGGTGCATCTCTCCAGGCCGATGTTATCAAGAGATCACTTCCTTAACAAATGGACCATGATGAGATTTAAACCTGGGTTTAATGGTTGAAACGCTAACATTCTAACTACATATCTATATGCCCATTTTGCAAAAAATTATCCTACATATACAACATTTGGCACTTGTCATCCAGTTTAAAACCTCAGTGTAGATAAAGAGCCTTTGTAATAGTCTTGTTTTATTCACGTCCTATTTTAAGAACGAAACAGATTTTTAGCCATTTCAGTATTTTAAATCCTATTTAAAAAATAGTGATAATTTACTTATCCGAACAGATTTGAGAAGTTTTTGGTTTTAAAACTGCTAAATCCAGCATTTATATCTCTTTTGGAATTTATGTCAAATGTTTCTGGGTGTTAATCAACAAGCAAATAATTTGTAAGCTACAGAAAATCTGCAGAATAAACAAATATTTCAAGAAATTATCAGATGTTCTTTTATTTTTATTCGACAAACAGAATTAAATAACACGTTCTAGTGTTGTCGTTGTTTGACAGAATTAAATAGCACGTTCTAGTGTTGTCGTTGTTTGACAGAATTAAATAGCACGTTCTAGTGTTGTCGTTGTTTGACAGAATTAAATAGCACGTTCTAGTGTTGTCGTTGTTTGACAGAATTAAATAGCACGTTCTAGTGTTGTCGTTGTTTGACAGAATTAAATAGCACGTTCTAGTGTTGTCGTTGTTTGACAGAATTAAATAGCAAGTTTTAGTGTTGTTGTTTGACAGAATTAAATAGCAAGTTCTAGTGTCGCTGTTTGACAGAATTAAATAGCAAGTTCTAGTGTCGCTGTTTGACAGAATTAAATAGCAAGTTCTAGTGTCGCTGTTTGACAGAATTAAATAGCAAGTTCTAGTGTCATTGTTTGACAGAATTAAATAGCAAGTTTTAGTGTTGTTTGACAGAATTAAATAGCAAATTCTAGTGTTGTCATTGTCTGACAGAATTAAATAACAAGTTTTAGTGTCGTTGTTTGACAGAATTAAATAGTTCTCCAATGCCTTACAGAACAAAAGACTAAATCAATGGACAGCACCAAATGACATTTGAATAATAATAATAAATTCAAATCAAATAATTTCAAGAGACAGTTTTTCACCAAAACTGCTACTTTGTAGAACATACTCTCAGGTGGATGCTTCCTTGAACATTACAATTTTAACCTCTTCAAGTCAAGAGCCAATTGTTATCTATCCTCCTTACCCTCATAATCTTCACCTTCTACTATCTCATACACCTAAAGCAGCATTTTCATTGTGACTGTAAGACTCTACCTTGAGTGGCTCTTTAGCCTTGCATTGGGCTAACTTTACAATGTTGCATACAAACTAATACATCTACTCAGAGTAGGCTAAATTTAAAATCCAGCAGATGTCAGTGGCTTCAGTAGGAAAACCCCCCAACTCTAACTGTAAACATCAGAGAAGAATCTTTATTACCCCATATTCCGACACACATGTCTCTTATTCCAGCCTGAGGACACCTACCATAAGGGGTGGAATACATAATTAAATAACTTTTCCATTTTGTTTTATTATCTACACTTATATATGATGGCTATTAGAGAACTCTTTTTCAGCTTCTTGCTTTCCTGTCAACAACTACAATCTACAAAAATTTAAATGCAATGTCAATCTCTTTTTTTTTTTTTTTTTTTTTTTTTTTTTTGTGTCCTTTCTTCTCAATAACATTTCAAATCTTTTATCTTTAGTGTCCCCTTGTGTCTTAATGGCTTTACTGGACTCATGCTTTTGATGTAGGTGGGTCTAGTAGTGCAATTCTTAGAACTGAACAGCCAATCTATCTGCACATATGATTTCATTACCATGGTAAATGCTTGTGCAGAAGCAACCACACTTTTCAGAATAAATGAATACAGCAGAGAACTTATGCTCATAGTGTTTCACAAGTTATTCAAATAGTCCTCCTCAGGTTTTGGTTTAAGAGTTGTTGTTCTTTTAGACTGGTTATCAAACAAGGCTAAATAGTCCAGTCTGCCATATATATTTTTTCATTTGGTCCACTCTGCTCATCTGGGTTGTTATACTTAAAACATTTCAGCTGTTGTATCCTCCATCTTCCTTCAGGTGCCCATCACCATATTGTGTAACCATCTTGCTTCTTTTCTTTTTTTTTTCTTTTTTTTTTTTTTTTTTTTTTCTTTTTTTTTTTTTTTTTTTTTTTTTTTTTTTTTTTTTTTTTTTTTTTTTTTTTTTCTTTTTTTTTTTTTTTTTTTTTTTTTTTTTTTTTTTTTTTTTTTTTTTTTTTTTTTTTTTTTTTTTTTTTTTTTTTTTTTTTTTTTTTTTTTTTTTTAACTAAATCCACTAAATTGTTCATAATCTGCTTTCCATGTTTAGGGGATAATTAATATGTTCAATTTTTTCCACCCTTTTCTTTTGCTTGTCTGTATCTTCCTTTGAACCATAGTGAATTTTCAGCACTACCAAATGACTCTGCTTTTAATCATGTGCAATATTTGCATGTGCGTAAATATCTTTCATCCCACCCAAAATGACATAGCTGAAAGAATAAAAACCACCTATACGTCGATATTTCTTATACAGAACTAAAAAAAAAAAAAAAAAAAAAGAATCCTTTCTACTCTTGAATAGCTCTTTGTAGCAAATAAAGTTACTCAGAATATAGTGGCTTCAGACATTGTCAAGCTGAGTAACTTAGGACAGAAAAATGTTTGTTTGCAAAGTTATATAATAACTTTGTATATAAGCTTGCCAGACAAGTACATCCATACAAATCTGTGTATTTAATCTTGCTCTTCCAAAGTGCAATGTTTTCCAACTAGATTCTTTGGATAATCTAGTGTCACTTGTTTTGTTATAATTAGTGATGGGACAATTAAGTGGAATTGGGGGTATCGGAATCTGAGAATTTTTAATTTAATTTCCAATTCCAAAAACAATTCTATGTTTGGATTATTTTTTTTTTTTTTATTATAAAAAACTATAACTTAATTTTCCACTCATGGTGCTAATGACAAAAAGATATAAATATTTATTGATTTTAAGCTATCAGTAAAATTAAAATCTATAGATGATAATAACACCTAAGTTAAATATGATGTAAATTTATTTTACTTGTGTGTGTAAAAAAAAAAAAAAAAAAAAATAAATAAATAAATAAAAAATGACAATGTTCAAGTTTCTACTCAGTTCTTGAACTTTCCATAAAGTTTGCTTGTTTAAAGTCTGTTTCAGTCCATTAATATTTTTAACACACATTTAATATTATAAATTATTAATTTAATAATTATAATCAAAATTGTGTTTTATAAGCAGAAAATGAAATCATGTTGTTCTGTCAGGCTCTCTTTTAAGACAATTTTTTTTTATTTATTTATTTTAATTTTTTATTTATTTTAATTTTTTTTTATTTATTTTAATTTTTTTTATTTATTTTAATTTTTTTTTATTTATTTTAATTTTTTTTATTTGTTTATTTTTTTATTTGTTTTTTTTTTATTTGTTTATTTTTTTTATTTGTTTATTTTTTTTATTTGTTTATTTTTTTTATTTGTTTATTTTTTTTTATTTGTTTATTTTTTTTTTTTTTGTTTTTTTTTTTATTTTTTATTTTTTTTATTTGTTTATTTTTTTTATTTTTTTTTTTTATTTGTTTATTTATTTTAATTTAAAAAAGAAAAAAAAAAAAAAGAATGTATAGAATTCCGCCAATGTCACATTTGATTTCTTCACATAAAAAATTGACCTGGTGTTACAAATTGTCCTCGTGTTGAAGCAGTTAAATTACAAGTTTGTTTTTATAATAGTTTTAATCCATAAAATCATTTTTTAATCTTGATTATTGAAAAGATTTATTTTACATAGCATACTACATAAACAAAAATAAATCTTCTTTTCAATAAAGAAGACTTGAATAGGTAAACATTCTTTTTATAAAAAAGTTTGTTTCTACAAAATTCATGTATTTCTTAATTTTATATCTTTTGAAACAGATTCACATCTTTATTTACTTAAAAAAAAAAAAAACTTTATTTAAAGTTTTAAGAAAGTTACTTCACACAAAAGTTTGTATTAAAAAATATAAAATTTAATTTCCATCAAATATTTTTCGTTGACATAATCAAACTTTTCCATGTTAAATTATTATGTTATTTAAAATATTTTGAACTTTTCCCTTTCCTTATTCTTCCTCAGAGCCGAACAAGATGCAAGTTTTATAAGTAGAACTGTATAAAAAAGTTAAAAACATGTATTTCATGTATTTTTATCACATTTTTATCTGGTGCGATTAAGCTATAGATTTTTCCACTTTTAACATGATTTGTTTTAATATTTTAAAAATAAAACTAGTAAAATTTCATCTTCAAATAAGCAACTGAAGAAAAATTGAACCCATGCAAAAAATACACATTTACAGTTGTTCTCATCCTTATGAAAGTTTTAATCATTTTTAATCTTATTTTTATTTTAATGCTTTGTAACAGTTGTAAAATGTTCAAGTTGAATGTAAGCATTATTTAGCTTTCAACTTCATATTTTTTAAAATTTATTGTAAAGTTTGCTAAAAATCCTTATATCGCTTAAAAAAAAAAACATTGAGATATGTTTTTACTATGTTGTTGCACTTTGTTCTTTTTTTTTTAACAAAA